GCCCCGCCCCGCCCCGCCCCGCCCCGCCCCGCATCCGCAGTAATGCAGGGCCTAGAACTATCACCACCATCTTCTCATACTGGCCTCTGGGAAGGGGCTGGGCTGGGTAGGGGCCGATGTGGACCCCGACTTTAGACCACTTGGGCCACTGGGCTATAGCGCAAAGAGATGCCGGAGGGCCCCACCCTTGAGAGATAGCACTGCACCCTCCTTCCTGGGTGGCTCTGCTCATCCAGAGTGGAGGTGGGCAGCTGGGCATTTGAAATTGGGGCCAGGCCGTGGGTTTTACTCAGGTTCTAGGCTCTAGAGTCCAGACCTTTGGGGCCATGATGCCTTGTCCCCGCCTCCATACTACCCTCACCCCATACATCTGCTATGGGGAACCGAGACTCATCTGGCCAAGGAGTCCCTTGATCTGGCCAAGCACACTGGTTGATCACCTCGAGGGACATCTCCACCCTCCACCCCTACCCCCAGCAAGTACACTTTACAGCATTACTGAGACCTGGATTTGGACCCCAGCTCCTCCACCTGCTGGGTACAGGACTCTGGGAAACTTACCTCACTACCTGGGTCTCAGTGCCTTCTTCTCTAATACTTACTTCCCAGATGTCGCAGGGATTAAATGTAGATATGTATGTAAAGCACCTAGCACAGCATCCGTCCCATAATTTAAAAAAAAAAGCAGTTGCCATGGAGTCAGTTCTGACTCATGGTGACCCCATGTGTGTCAGAGTAAAACTGTGCTCCATAGGGGTTTCAGTGGTTGATTTTTTTTTTAAGTAGATCACCAGGCCTTTCTTCTGAGGTGCCTCTGGGTAGATTCAAACTGCCCGCCTTTCAGTTAGTAGCCAAGCATTTAACCGTTTGTTCCATCCAGGACTCAAAAGATGGAGGTCAATGGATGCTAAATCCAAATGGAAAATTTGCTGAGGAGCAGGATATTTGCACTGTCTTAAAGAGTCTCACCAGAGACATATAAGCCTATAAGTAAAGGCTAATTAGTTGCAAGTGGGGGGAAAAACAACAGGAATTATACAGTGGAGAAAACTGGGTGATCAAAATTAAGATCACCAATGAGGGACAGATAGACATTGTGCACTTCCAGATGTGATACCCTTAAAAGGACACACACCTCTATGGAATTCTGCCTGAGAATGCGTTAGCTTATTCGAATCATAAGGAAACATCAGACAAACACAAACTGAGAAAATTTCTACTTAAAAAGGAGCAAGAGACAGTATACAATACTGGGGAAGTCAGAACAACTTGACCAAGGCAAAGTCACAGAAGCTTCCTAGACACACCCAAACTCCCTGAGGGACTGAGTTACTGGGCTGGGAGCTGGGGACCATGGTCTTGGAAGAACATCTAGCTCAAATTGGCATGACATAGTTTACGAAGAAAATGTTCTACATCCTACTTTGGTGAGTAGTGTCTGAGGTCTTAAAAGCTTGTGAGTGGCCGTCTAAGACACATCTACTAGTCCTTCCCTGTCTGGAGCAAAGGAGAATGAAGAAAACCAAAGACACAAGGGGAAGATTAGTCCAAGGGCTAATGGACCACAACTATCACAGCCTCCACCAGACTGAGTCCAGAACAACTAGATGGTGCCCGGCTACCACTACCAACCGCTCTGACCGGGATTACAACAGAGGGTCCCGGACAGAATGGGAGAAAAATGTAGAACAAGTGATCAAATTCACGAAAAAGACTAGACTTACTGGTCTGACAGAAATTGGAGGAACACCTGAGACTATGGCCTCCGGATACCCTTCTAACTCAGAATTGAAGACACTCCCAAAGTTCCCTTTTCAGCCAAAGATTAGGCAGGCCTCTAAGACAATTAATAACACACTCGAGGAACGTGCTTCTTAGATCAATCAAGTATACGAGATCCAATGGGCAATACCTGCCCAGGAACAAAGACGAGAAGGCGTAGGGGACAGAAAAACTGGACAAATGGACACAGTGAACCTGGGGGGGGAGGGGAAGGAAAGCGGGAGAGTGCAGCCAATGCCATGAAACAATTTGTGTATAAATTTCTTAATGAGAAACTAATTTGCTCTGGAAAATTTCACCTAAATCATACACACGCAAACACAAAAGACCAGACTTACTGGTCTGACAGAGACTGGAGAAACCCCAAGAGTATGGCCCCCAGACACCTTTAGAACTCAGTACTGAAGTCACTCCTGAAGTTCACCCTTCAGCCAAAGATTAGACAGGCCTATAAAAATAAACAATAACACACGTAGTGCAATCATGTATACGAGACTGAATGGACACACCAGCCCAAAAGCGAAGGCAGGAAGGGACAGGAAAACTGGATGAATGGAAACGGGGAACCTGTGGTCGAGAAGGGGAGAGCGTTGCCACATCATGGGGTGGGCAACCAATGTTACAAAACAATTTCTGTATTAGTTGTTTAATGAGAAACTAATTGGCTCTGTAAACATTCACCTAAAGCACAATTTAAATAAATAAAAAGGGGAGAGGATGTATTCTTTAAAAATACTAATGTCATAAAAGACAAAGAAAGGCTTTGGAATGTTCCAGATGAAAGGAGTCTAAAGAGACAAGCCAAGTAAATGCAATACCCAACTCTAGGCTGGGTCCTGTATCGGTGGGGAAAATGCTATAAAGGTCATTATTGGGTCAAATGACAAAATTGGATATGGGCAGTAGATTAAATAAAAGTATCAGTGTAAATTTATGAAGTTGCGGACTGTTGTAACTGACTTTTAAACGGTTCAGAAAATAAAGTGTGTGTGTGTGAGTGTGTGTGTGTAGGATGAGCAAATAGCTGCATCTGAGTCAAGTCCAAGTAAAGGTTTATAGTGTTCTGTGTACTGTTTTTGGAACTTTTTGTACATTTACAATTATTTCCAAATAAAAAGTTAAAAAAAATAGTACTCAGCCACAAAGAGAAATGGAGTCCTGGTACATGCTTTGACACGGATGAATCTTGAAAACATGCTGAGTGAAATATGACAGTCAGAAAAAGGCAAACGCTGTACGATCCCACTTATATGAAATTTCTAGAATAGGCAAGTATGCCGAGACCAAAGTTCATTAGTGGTTACCGGGGTGGTTGCGGGGGGAAGAGGGCGTCCTTGCTTGAGACACTGAGCTTCTGTTAAGGGTGATGGAAACAGATAATGGTGATTGTTGAACAACGTGATAAACATAATTAATGTCATTGAATTGCACGTCTGAAGAATGATGAAATGGCGTATGTTTGATTACATATATGTTTGCCACAATTTTTTAAAAAAGTTAAGAAAAACGAGAAGGCGGAGGGGGAAGTACAGGGCCCTGGCAGGCCTAGCCTGCCCCAGCCGCCTGCCTCATCATTCCCATTTCCTGGCTCCTACTCTCGCCTCTGTGCTCCAGCCACACTGCTCTCCCTTCTGCTCCTCCGGCCCACTCCAGGGCCTTTGCCCATGGTGTTCCCTCCACCTGGGATGCTGGTCTGCAGAACGGCCAACAACTGCTCTTCCTCCAGATCTCAGCAAAATGTCCCCTCATCAGAGGTGTCTTCCCTGACCACGCAGTTCTTTTTTCACAGCACCGCCTTCTTTTCTCTTATACTTCTTATTATAATTTGCAGTTATATGTTTGTTTGCCTAGCCCACTAGACTATGAAACTCCAAGAAGGCAGGACGATGCAAGACAGACTCTGAATAAATATCCATGAATGAATGGTGGTGGTGGTTGCCTCAGCAACACCTGGGAAGGCCAGCTGAGCAGCGGGCAAGGGTGCAGCTCCTCTTCAGTCCCTCACCTTCCACCTACAGTGTGGACAGACCCCAGTGTCCACTGCAGCCTGGCTAAGGTTAGGGGGGGTGCTTGTGCTACCACTACCCTGACCTTGCTAGCCCCCATATGCCTTCTCCGAGGCCCAGGTCACAGCCACAGCCCAGGTTAGCAGCTGCCTGGGGGAGGTTTAGGGGCGCTGGCACATTCAGGGAAGGGGTGGAGGGGGTACAAGCCGATGCTGGAGTGCTGTAGGTCCTGGCCCAGTATGGTGCTCTGAGCCTTTCCCCAAGTTTTGCTTTGGTCTCAAGGAGACCTGTGCCGAATTCATATGCTGCAGAACAAGCAGCACTTGGCCTTGGGTTTCACAATGTGTGCAGCTGATTCCGTGTATTATCACATTTCATGGTTTATCACGTTTCCAACCATCGTGCGGGAAACGGAGCTAATGTATGTGAACGGGTGACAGACTGGAGGAGAGGTGTGAAAGAGAGGGAGGAGACACATTCAGGCTACAATTTCAGAACTGGGGACGGGGAGCTGGCAGGATGGCAGGGCTGTTGATAAGCACCACCAGTGGCCGTGGATTCCACTCTGACTCATGGCAACCTCCTGTGTGTCAGAGTAGAACTGTTTTCACAGGGTTTTCAATGGTTGTGATCTTGCAGAAGTAGACTGCCAAGCCTTTCTTCCGAGGTGCCTCTGAGTGGACGCCAACCTCCAATCATTTGGTTAGCAGCTGAGCGTGTTAACGGTTTGCATCACCCAGGCACTCTGTTGATAAGAACAGGGGAGTGGGAAGAGGTTGCTGGTTTGGGAGGGGGGTGCTGGGTCTAGTCCTGACCATGGTGAGTCTGTGATGACCACAGGGCGGGGTGGGGAATGAGGCTGCACGGGAGAAATCGAGCCTGAGTGTGGGGTTGGAGGGGGCGTTCTGAGCTTGGGCAGGCCTGCAAACAGACCTACAGTTAGAGTGGGGACAGATGATGGAGAGACAGAGGCTGAGAACTGTCTTCAAGAACGTGTCTTGAAAC